TTTTTTTTTTTTTTTTTTTTTTTTTTTAGTTTATTGAATCTACTAGATTGATCTTTAATGTGAGATCCCACATTGGTTGGAGAGAATAACGAAACATTTCTTATAAGGACGTGAAAACCTCTCAAAAGCGGACAATATCTGTTAACGGTGGATTTAGACTATTACAAATGGTATCAAAGCCAGATACCGGGTGGTGTACCAGCGAGGACAGTTGTCCTCGAGGGAGTGGATTGTGAGATCTCACATTGGTTGGAGAGGTGAACAAATGCTTGCTCAAATAGAATCGAACTAATGCTCGAAGTTCTAGGGCTAAAAAGGTAATTTACCAGACATATTTTATATACTATAAATTTTGTAGAAGAAAAATATTTTTAATATATGCTAAAATAAAATGAAAAAAGAAAAGGAGCAATCTTTTCCAAAACTATAAGGACATAAAGCCCAAATCAGAAGCGCCCAACCGAACAATCCGATCAATGCTTCCATCTTCTTCAGCGCATCAAACGTTTCTCAATTTATCTTTCTCGCAACCCATTAACATGTTTGTGAAGAAACAAACCTCCTCTATGTGCCTCTAAGGCTACCAGCTCCAAATTCAGCCATGGCTTCATCGTAGGCACAATTCAAGAAGAAGGAAGAACAATCCCTTTATCGTTGCATTTGAATCAATCAATGTCTTCCAGACGGCATCTATAAGGACCTGCGTCGGCTCTGTTTCGACCCCATTTGGATTCTGCATTGAATTTTGGGTTTGGATCCTTGAAAGATTGTTCATGGCGCTAAAGTTTTCGACTCTGGGTTTGCCCGCCTTCTCTATCGGCGGGCAATCGATTTCTCATCTGCCATGCCGTCGATATAAGGCTGTACCGGTAAGGATTTTCGGGGGAAACAATCGGTACCCTAGTTTTTGTTTGTCGAACTGTGTTCAATTTCGTAGTTCTGGAAGCATTCTGCGTACGATTTATGCAAATGGAGCTCGGTTGGGATGTGGGGATAATGAGAGCTGGAACAGCCTGATTGTTCTTCAGCCGAATCAAGATTATGTTAGAGAAATAGCAAAGCGTTTGATTGTTTTCACTGCAATTGTCTATGGTGTGTTCGTTGTTGGCTGTAAAAATGTTTTGGCAACGGAGGGTGTGGTTAGTTTCGGCAAGGATATTGTTGGGCAGGGGATATCGACCTTCAGTGATGCGTGGCCGAAGGCGTTGCTGGTTCTTAAGATTTTCAAGGAGCAGGGTTTGATTTTGGCTTTGCTTTTGGGGCTTTCAGCGTTTTTCTCTATGGCTGAGACATCCATAACCACACTTTGGCCTTGGAAGGTAATCTAATCAATGCAGTTCATTTTAAGAAACACATGTGCTTTGAGACTTGAGTTATACAAATGCAATTGCTTGTTTTGTTCATAAATTACATTCGCCTGTTGCATGTAGCTCATCAGCCCTACACATCCTAAAATTATGGAAACATATAGATGCTTGTGATGCCCCTTTAAGTGCGTTTTTCAATTTAGAGTTCAAAATGGGTTTAATATTAATGTCGCGAAACGACTTAGTAAGCTTTCCCAATGTGAAGATCCTACATCAGTTGGAGAGGGAACAAAACATTTCTTATAAGGGTGTGGAAACCACTCCCTAGCAGATATGTTTTAAAACTGTGAGGCTGACGGTGATATGTAACGGGCCAAAGCGGACAATATCTGCTAGCGGTGGGTTTGGACTATTACAAATGGTATTAAAGTCAGTCAACCGGCGGTGAGCGAGGATGTTGGGCACCCAAGGGGTGTGGATTGTGAAGATCCCACATTGGTTGAAGAGGGGAACGAAACATTTCTTATAAGGGTGTGGAAACCTCTCCCTAGCAGACACGTTTTAAAACTGTGAGGCTGACAGCGATATGTAACGGGCCAAAGTGGACAATATTTGCTAGTGGTTTAGGGTCATTACAAATGGTATAAGAGTCAATCAACGGATGGTGTGCCAGCGAGGACTCTAGGCCTCCAAGGGGGGTGGATTGTGAAGATCCCACATCAGTTGGAGAGAAGAACGAAGCATTCCTTATGAGGGTGTGGAAACCTCTCCCTAACAAACACGTTTTAAAACTGTGAGGCCGACGGCGATACGTAATGGGCCAAAGCAAACAATATCTGCTAGCAGTGGGCTTGAGCTATTACAAATGGTATCAGAGTTAGTCAACGGGCGGTGTGCTAGCAAGGATGTTGACCCTTCAAGGGGGGTGGATTGTGAAGATTCCACATCGGTTGGAGAGGGGAACGACGTATTCCTTATAATGGTGTGGAAACCTCTCCCTAGCTAACATATTTTAAAATTGTGAGACTGACGACGATACGTAATGGGCCAAAGCGGACAATATCTACTAGCGGCGGGCTTGGACCATTACACCGAACCAAATTTACAGATTAGCTTGAGTTTATAACATCTTGATGGTACATGCTAACGTCTTGTTCTAAGACAACCTCTGAGTGCGTTCATGTAGGTACGTGAATTGGCTGAAAAGGAACCTGAAGATGGTGTCTTCAAGATGCTTCGTACTGATGTTACAAGATTTCTCACAACCATACTTATCGGCACAACGTAATTCTCTTTTCATCTTTGTCACAACCAATTCAACACGTTTTATCAGTTTGTTTTTGCTCATCTTAGATTCTTCTGATGTACTTAGTGTGGTAAATATTGGGGCAACTGCATTAGTCACTGAAGCTGCAACTGCAATATTTGGGGAAGCTGGTGTTAGCGCAGCAACTGGAGTGATGACTGTATGTATGAATGCCCAATCTTGAACAATATTCTGGAAATTGATGCACAGATAAACTTACCCACTTACATTTCCTTACCTATATGTATGTATGTATGTATGTATTAATTTTTTTTAAACACCACTATTAAATTTAATTAAAAAACGACAGCATAAAGATTTTAGATTAATTAATTGGAAGTTAATACCAAGGACCAAAAACGAGCATTAGTCATTCAAGGATAAAAATGTAAATCTAGGGACCAAATGAAAACTAAAATCAAAACTCAAGGGTAAAAATATAACATTGTGAAACTTAGGGACCAAATGGAAACTAAACACATAACTTAGGGGCAGACATGTATCATTTTAATACTTAGGGACCAAATAGAAACGATACTCAAAACTTAGGGACAAAAAAGTTATTTCTCCTTTTATTTAAGTTTGAGTTATCATTGATAACGATGACAAGGGCATCGTGTTGAGATCTTTACATGTGTCTTCTATATTTCTGTTTCGATCTATATTGCTTAAGTTCATTGGAAATTGGCTCTAATTTTACCTCATTGTTGCTAGGTTGCCATTTTGCTTCTCACCGAACTCACTCCAAAAAGTATTGCTGTGCATAATGCTACAGAGGTTGCTAGAGTTGTGGTAAGTTACTTATGCTTATTGCATCACCAAACCCTCTATTAGAGGTTTTCTTGTTTCAATGCTTATTTTGTTTCTTCTGTTAAATGCATTGATCTTATTGCCTGTAGGTCAGGCCAGTGGCATGGCTTGCTGTGATACTTTACCCAGTTGGAAAAATTGTCACCTACCTTTCAATGGGGATGCTTAAAATACTTGGTATGAAAGGGAGAAGGTAAGATTTGTAATATAGATGTTTCAATTACTTGGAGGTTTCTGCTCACTGTTCCATTCTAAGGCCGTAGTTTCATGAAAGTTTATGGAACTAGTTGTTTATTCTTCTTATAGACATTGAAAATGCTTCATCTTAGTGCTATTTTCACCTGTCTTAATGTGTTAGTGAGCCATTTGTAACTGAGGAGGAATTAAAATTGATGTTGCGAGGGGCGGAACTGAGTGGGGCCATAGAAGAGGAAGAACAGGTAATGGATAGGCTTCTCAGGACATTGTTCTATTAGTAAAACTCTTGAGCTAGATGGTCTTTGAACTAACTATTTCAGAGAGATCAATGAGTTCATTATCGTATCTCGAACTTCAATTTCATTACTGACAAGTATCTAAAATTGAACTTGAATGTGACTACACTGTGGTTGTGGTTTCATTTGTTCTTTCTCTCTCTCTATGGGAAAAGTAATGGCTCTGCGCACAGTAAGAAAGGTAATTCATTATAGCTTAGTCTTGAGCTATACAATTTGGTTTTATGAAAGCACATGAGCAATCAGATGTCAGAAACTGGCATTTTTGTTGGACAATATGCTAAGGTCACTTTAATTTTGTCGAATGGACTTTGTCGTGATTATTATGAATGTCTGATAAACTTCAAGAGTGAACATTCATTGTGCCTAGTGTTCCCTATTGCATGGTATCTGGGATAGGTTTCCTTACCTCTTGTGGATGGTTTTGTGACTTATCGACGAACTAGATTGCCTTCATATTTTTTTGGGTTATCTCTGTAAAATGTTTGTCATGATGGTTCACTACAGGATATGATTGAGAATGTTCTTGAGATAAAAGATACACATGTGAGAGAGGTGATGACACCTCTTATTGATGTGGTTGCAATAGATGGCAGGGCGACACTGGTCGACTTCCACAATTTGTGGTTGACTCATCAGTACTCGAGGTACAATAAACTTTTGGGGCTAAGGCAAATTTTGGTTTGAATACACACACACTTCTAATTTTTAACGAACGGGAAAGAAACAGAAGGGAGAAAAACTAATCTCTTTTTATTTAATGGCTTATTTCTCCTAAAGTAGCTGCAATCCTGTATTTCTTATTTGAAAATAAACTAAACCTCTTTTGGTTGTTCTAATTTATAACTATTTGATCATCTTTCTAGGGTGCCTGTTTTCGAGCAGCGCATAGATAACATCGTTGGGATTGCATATGCAATGGATTTGCTGGGTTTTCTACAGAAGGTCGAGTAGTTTCTCCCACTCCCCCGACTATCGTAATTACAATTGCATGTTGCTAATCGTAATCAAAATCTCAGTGTAGAATTATTAACTCGTTTGGTTTTGAAGGGCGAAGTACTAGAGAGCACTACGGCTGGGGATATGGCTCATAAACCTGCTTACTTTGTGCCTGGTAATTCTTTAACTCAAATGACATTTTTTAGTAAGCTGACTCAAGTACATACAGTATGGTGTTTATAGCTAATTAGATGCTGGAAAATAATAGTTTTTATTAGATTTTTGAACCAATCATGATGAGTAACTTGATACTGTATCGTTTTCCTCTGCTGGGCCTCTCGTTTCTAAAGTTGTAAAGAATTTTTCTTTACGGCTATCAGCCTGCATATAGCGAGGGAAATCGTTGTATCTGTATTGTTCTAAATTCGTAGATGAATAAACAGTCTAGCCTAGATTATATATGTGTGTGTCTGTGTATATTTACTTACACAGCATTGGTTAACTATGCGTGCTTGGTGAAACGTGTTGTTATCGTCCAAACCCACTGCTAGCAGATATTGTCCTCTTTGGGCTGTTACTACACGTGTAGTCCGAACACATGCATGCAAATTATACTCGAGTTTCCACAAGTTGGGATTGTATTACATACATCTGTTTGCTTTCGTTTTCTCGTTATTTCATAGTCTCCCTAATTACCACTATTGTTTCATGTCAAAGTTGTTTTATGGGTTTTCCAGATTCAATGTTAGTCTGGAATCTTCTTCGAGAGTTTCGTATCCGGAAGGTTCACATGGCTGTTGTGCTTAATGAATATGGCGGCACTGTTGGAGTATGTAAACTCACCATGTCTTGGTTTTCATCTGCATAATACTATAATGATATGCTTTCTGATTCACGAGTTAACAACCTTGTTTGTCATCTAATTATTGTTTTATCATCTAGTTTGCAATAATATGCAAGTAATGTGTACCAAATGTTGTGGTTCTTTGATTGTGGAGACGCTCCTGAATCTTCCCTTTGGGGGTAAAGGCAGAGTCCTTTGACAAGCTTATATTTTTGTTGTGCATCGAGGGTCGTGACTCGAGAGGAATAGTAAAACTTTTAACTTTTAAGGGTGTGGAGATGTCTGCAGATGAGGTTTGAGTTGAGATATTGCTAGAGTCGATACCTCGTCATGGGCATGAATTGGACTTTGTTTCTTCGTTAGTTCTGTGATAATTTTTTGTGGGACTATTTTTTTTTTTTTTTTTTTTTTTTTTTTTTTTTTTTTTTTTTTTTTTTTTTTTTTTTTTTTTTTTTTTTTTTTTTTTGTGTCAATGGGAGTGCACAACAGGGGCGAGCCCCACTTTTTTTGTTTGGACGTGAATGTCTCTCCTCATCCGGCTTTCTGCACTATCTCTTCCAACCAGCCAACCCGCGGACTTGAACACAAGCCCTTCCGCATTCACTCAGTTGACTAAGATGAAACCATTTCAAATTCATTCACTTCAAGGCTGGTTCTGAAACGCCGAGACCGATAGGAAAAGTAGTTTAGTCTCATTCATCTTGAGTCTATCCTTTTCTTGTACATTGCTGCTTCGCTCTTATAAACTTTTTCCCCGTTTATCTGTTGTATGAACCGCGGTATACTTTCAGTGCATTTGCCTGTTTGTTTAATTGATTTGTACTGTTTTTACTGAAGATTTCATTTTTTACTTTTCTGATGGAATCAGATAGTAACTCTGGAAGATGTGGTTGAGGAGATCGTCGGTGAAATCTTTGACGAAAATGATTCAAAGGTAAATGTCGCTGTCATTTTTTTCTTATCTTGAATACATACCATCACTTTGTGTTCTTGAATGTGCTTTCTGATTCTGAGTATTGATATCTTGGCTATAGAAAACATCCACGTTCATGTTCTTAAAAGGTTCAAGCACTGCCATATTATAGGTCATGCAGGCATGCTACTTCATGTTTTGTTTGAATGATTTTTCTTTTGTTTTTCACTTTGAAAAAACCTAAAGGAGGAGATCCAGAAGAAAACTGGGTATATTGTGATGCGAGCAGATGGAGTATATGATGTGGATGCCAATACTGCAATCGACCAGCTCTCTGAAGATCTGAATATCAAAATGCCAGAGGTGATGTACTTTTATTTTATGTTTTAGTTCTTTAAAATTCTCTGGGATACATTTTTCAATTGTGTGTGAGATCCTGTGTCGGTTGGAGAGGAAAACGAAACATTCCTTACAAGGGTGTGGAAACCTCTCCCTAGTAGATGCGTTTTAAAACCGTGAGGCTGACGACGATACGTAACGGGCTAAAGCGGACAATATCGGTTGGCGGTGGTATTGGGCTGTTATAAATGGTATTAGAGCTAGACACCGGGTGGTGTGTCAGCGAGGACACTGGGCCCCCAAGAGGGGTGGATTGTGAGATCTCACATCAGTTGGAGAGGAGAACGAAACATTCTTTATAAAGGTGTGGAACCTCTTCTTAGCAGACGCGTTTTAAAAACCTTGAGGGGAAGCCTGAAAAGAAAAGCCTAAAGAGGACAATATCTGCTAGCGGTAGACTTGAGCTGTTATAGAAGAGGAACTCACATGTGTGGAAGGTGGACGGCATAAAGATTGAAAGAAAGGAGAAGCCATGCAGAAATCAAACTCCGGAAAATAAATTTACAGCAAAAGCAAATAGAGAAGACAGAACAACATAAAAATAACAGAAGTAAACAGTGAAAGAATAGAATTTGGTGGCACCTAAGAATCTTTATAAACTCCTAGAAAATTCTCCTGTTTGTCTTAAGTTAATAGTACCACTGGATGCCTTTGACTGTGTTAGGCTCTAACCCCTTCGATTACTTGTCTTTACTTATGCTCGGTTGATTGAAATTTGTCTCTTAACCAAAGGGAAAAACAAGAATATTCACATAACCATGCTCAGATTCTTTACATCCTAAATATACATGCATATAGGTACAAATCTACATACGTTTGTTTACTTTGACTGCTTGTTACTAATTTCTTATATATTATTACTTCTTGTCACTTTAGGGTCATCAATATGAGACGGTGTCGGGTTTTGTTTGTGAGGCTTTTGGATATATACCAAGGACGGGTGAAAGCGTTAAAGTGGTCCTTGAAAAGGAAGATGAAGAAGAAGAGTCCATCTCTGAAAACCAGAAACGAAAGGAGAGACGCTTAATCTTTAATATTGAGGTATAACTTCATTTGGTATTAACTGTTGGGTGAGTACCAAAAAGCATTGAAAAATCATTCAACCTATCATTTCAATACATACAATCTTATCATCTGCCACTAATTCGTAATTGTTCTGCAATTGATACTGTTTACCTCATTTCCTTTTAGTCAATGATAGATTATGAACTTATTTAACGTGCAGAATAATGCATCATAGAAGCACGACACGATACTCTGTAAATTAAGTTTTCACAGGATGTCTTATAGGGCTATTTCATGTCCATTTTTTTGAACTGGGTAACTGCCTCTTATGTGTGCGCTATGATCCCTTAACTTTCTGATTTGGATTTTAGCATCAAGCTGTTTATAGATTGTACATTGATTAGTGGAAACTAGAATGGAGCGTACCCTTTGGTCGGTATATATTCTGGCTGTTCATTATATTTCTCCAGTTCTCGACAAACAAAAAATGGGGAAAAAACCTGCATCACAATATGATTTATGTGCAGTTCTTTTTTCTGTCATCCTTGAAAGTTAACTTTGTATCTCCACCACTATATTCACATCATTTTAGCACGATATGTCTCGTTTAGTTTCCTTAGTTTCGGAATATTGTGGTTGATATGTTGGATCTTTGTGCAGGTATTAGCAGGGAATGCTAGAAAGGTTAGTGTTGTTCGGTTTAAACGGGTGAACGGTGATAGTGGTGAAGTGACTCATCTTGTTCGAAAAGTCATCAAGAAGAAATGGAGCAGTAATGGGGAGTCTGGTAATGTAGCAAATGATAATTTATTGTTATCAGAGAGACTTGACGACAGCCTCTCTAGAGATCACCCAAATGATGATCATAGTAGTGATAGAAATTAGTGAGCATAACCCATTTTTGTTCCCCTCCATCTTAACACCATATAGAAGGTGAAGTATTAAATAAAAGCACGAACGAACAATAAACTAACGCTATATTTCACAGATGAAGAGAGGTATCAATATTTGAATCATCAACACAGTTTGTTCTGTGCATGACTGTTTCTCTCGACCCCATGTCTGATAAATTATCTGTGACTTGAAGATGAGATTTTCTGGTTTCCATGATTGGGTGAAGGTATGAAGAGCCTTGGAGTGATGAGCTAGGTGGATGAACTAGTTCAGAATGGAAAAATAAGCCAGTTTGCTCGGAGCACACTGCTGAATTGGCCTGTATCGACTCAGACGACAGCCTTCGAAACTCTTTCTGCTGTCTCAACTCTTTAGCTTTCTGCAATCGTCTAAATCTCTCCTGCAGCAAGGCAATTGAGGAGTTCATTGCCCTGGCATTACAGTTTTCATTACTCATTGTCAAAGAAAAAGGGGAAAAAAAAAAAAAAAACAATCTCCAACACTTCGTGTTTCGTGCTTCGCCGAAGAGCCTGTCAGGTATCTCTTTGACGAATATTTGAGTATCTGTATCTCTATTTATAGGACATGGGTAGGTGATTTCTTGAACGTTAATAGATGCATTAGTTAATTTCAAGCTTTCGATTAGATTTTGAATCACGAAAATAAAGGGAAGAAGCAGGTGCCAAGATGGAAACGCCAAGTAGAACTGGCCAGGAGCAAAGCTGAGTTTTGGTTGTTGGATGTGAAGAAGGCAGAGACTTCCAAAGAGAGAGATGGATTGAGAGGCAGGAATGTAGCTTTTGTAGGCGTTTGTTGAGTTCAATTATTGGATTATGATTTCTAGTCTGTTTGTCTGAGGGGCTGCGCTGTGCCTTTTCAATGGGATTTTGCTTTGAATGTACCTTTCTCTTTTTTCTCTCTTCTTTTTTCTTTTGAATTAGAACTCAACATGTGCAATACACAATGGTGGTAAATGTATCATTTTGAGGTTCTTTTGGTGTTCTTCTCCCTCTTTTATGTATAGTTAACATTGTGAACAAAATGAAATATCGTTCCTTCAACGGAATCTTCGACATTTCATTGATCTATATGACAAATGAATATCTATCTACATTTGAACGTGTTTGAGATGATATATTAAGATTTTTGTTCGGCCTGTTTAATTCTTTATATATAGAGTTTAGATAAGATAGAAACTAAAGTCAAACGAAAAGAGGAAAAGAGAAATTATTGCTATTGAAGATTGGTTCTCGACATGGACAAGTAACTAAATAGAATATTTTTCAATATCATAATAAAGATTTTTCTTTAAAACAAAAGAACCCTACCAACATGGATGAGTATCACTCTCATATGGTGTATAACCTTAATGTAAGGGAGCTTAGTATATATACTCATTCTCATATATATACTCATTCTCGTATGGTGTAGTGCTCAAGAGCTTAGTATATATATGGATGAGTATCACTCTCATATGGTGTATAACCTTAATGTAAGGGAGCTTAGTATATATACTCATTCTCATATGGTGTAGTGCTCAAGAGCTTAGTATATATACTCATTCTCATATGGTGTAGTGCTCAAGAGCTTAGTATATATACTCATTCTTATATGGTGTAGTGCTCAAGATAACCTTAATGTAAAGGAGCTTAGTATATTGCTATAGCTAGTGTAGAGAAGCACTCAAAAGGCACATGGAGAGGAAATGAAGGTGTTATGAATATCTGGTAGATCAGACAAGATCTTTAGATCTAAATAATTCAAGAACCACAAAAACGATAAAGAATTAATTCAAGGAAAAAATTTTAAAACAGATTACCTTAATAATCAAGATCAAGAGTAAGAAAACTTTGTTTATAAACTCATGATTCAAATTAGATTTGATCAACTCCACTTGAATGACTATAACATGCAAGTTCTAAAACACAAAAATTTACTAAAATTTAGCTCTCAAAAGAACTAAAATAGAAACTCTATTCTTTTCGATTCAAAAATATATCATTTCTATTCTTTATTTCATGTTGCCATATTCTATAAAGTGTTAGATCTGGGTTTTATTTAACTTTGTTCTTCTTTTAAGATCTCCCAAATCGATTTTCTTGATGGTAAACTGATTGGATTTTGAAAATCCGTTTCAAAATTTTCCCTTGGATTGATTCTTTATCGTTTTTTTTAGATTCTTAGATAATTTAGATCTAATACACTTGCTATTCAACAAAGTTGTTAGATCAAACCTCAAGAGTTTCATGTTAGAACGGAAACAAAAGAGAGAAGGGAATGGGAGGAATTGCAAAAGAAAAAGGCAAAAATGGTTTTGTCGTAGAATAATTGGATTGAAAAGAGAACTCAATGATACCTTGTTGGATTGTAGGGTTTGGAAGGTTGTTTATAACACCACGAGTCCATTGACCAATGAGTGAACCAAATGGCCCTCCCTATTAGATATTCTTACAGCTAACTTCCAAACCTCCAAAATCCACCACTACCCATTGCACCACATTTTGAAGCATTCATCCTCTTCCACAGTATCTCTATTCTCTAACTCTATTTTTTTCTTCCATGTCCTCTTCTGAGTTCACACCCCGATGCCGGGATTCTAACTCGAACCCTTCAACTTCTTCCCCCATTTTATTACCCCAAAAAAAGCTTAAGTTCGATATCATCACTCAATTATTTACTATTTCAAAAGCTGAAAATACGATGGTCCGATAATAATAGTTCGATGTAGATGAATCTATGAGTTCCTTTTGATAGAGAGTTTAGGAAGTGGTATCATACAAAAACTATCACTTTTGACCATTTTAAAAGTCATACGAAACTCATCCTTCAGATAGACATACTCGTTATGATCGAATAAAGGGTAAAAACCCTTTTATCACACTAGAAGTCCATTCAAATTCATCCTTAATCCTAGGACATGTGCCAGATAAGATACTCATTATAATTGTTGTAAGGCCAAACAGATATTCAATAAAATTAGTCAAGATGTGTGCTATCATCTCATATACTTTGAAGAATGAGAACAGAATACGAGTAAGAAAGAAGCTTAGCTGATGAAACAGTGCAGATTCGGGCATTGCACGCAGCGTGTGTACGACTCCTCCTAGGATGCCATTGGAGGCTGTGGCAGCTACTTCAATGGCATATTCACACATCCTCGGCTGCTCTGCTACCACACTGCTGTGGGGGACGGGCAACCAAGTGGTGTGTTACAGTAAATACGCCTACGGATGGAGTCAGAAGCCTGCAAACACAAACCAAAATCCAAACAGAAACCCTTTCTATAAAATGGCACTAATAGTTATGCTGCCAAGGTTGCTTTTCTTCTCCTTTCTTTTCTATGGATATTGTTTTTTTTCCCCTTACTTTAGAGATGGAGATCTAACAAAACAAACTGAAAAGTCACTCATATATTTGAGTAAAGGAAGAAAGGACTTATGTTATCTAACCAAATAAAATGGAAAACAATGCATTTATCCCTCTCCCATGCAGAATGTTTCAAAATTCTTAAACCTTAACCTTTAAGGATACTACAAACCGAACACAATTACAGAGATTTCACAGATTCAACTTTTAATAAGTTGTTCTCTGCACGATTCAAACACGTATCTTATAATAATAATTAGACGTTCTCGACTTCAAACTTCATTAACTATGGCACATTGACAACAAAAAAAAGTTTCAGATACAAGATCATTACGGTGTTTCTTTAAGTGAAAGTCACAGTGGTATATTATATTATCAAGGAAGCCGTCATTAAAGCTATCCAAATCAGTAAAGATCTTATTTTTTGTTCTTAGGCTTGCAAGCATGCACAACAACTGTGTTCTAATTTAGCAGGTCACAGGACCTTAGAAAAATCCAATGCAGCCAAGGACCTTAGAAAATGCATCACAAATGTCAAGGACAGATAAATGAGTATAATTTCAGAAGTTTTTTAAAAGAACATACCAATCAGAAGCAAGCAATTGCATAAGGTCTCAAAAATCATTAAGCCTAAGCAAACCATAAAAGAACTTTCTATTTCTTTCCATCTAAATTTCCTAAAAAAGACCCTTGATGGTATTTCTGTAAAAAACTTCAGCCTCAACAATGAAGAAAAGACCACACAACACATCAGAGATGGTACATTTGCATTTTGCAGTATTCACCAAACTACGAATGCATCCTAGAAGCTTCTAGTTCTAGCAGCTGATACAACAAGAAGAGCTAAACAAACAAAACAAAAGGAAATGCTCTCTGATCCTCGATCCCATTTTTGCAGAGCAGGAGATATTTTACCTTTTTCCATATTCTTTTTTCATTTTTTTAAAAAGTAGCAGGAGCGCTTTGGAACCTTGTCCATAGTTTAACCCTCCATGGAGCTACAGTCGAGTAAAAAAAAAAAAACTACATTATTTTTCAAGTTTTTTATTTCCAAATGAACGAAGCAGGTCCAATAAAGAAATTTCTTGCGTCCTCTATAGGACTCCTCTATAAACCCAACTTTGAAGGGATTTTACTATCCAACAAGTCCAGTTAAACCCAGCAGCCCCATTTTAGAAATGCATTTGAATAATACCTGGTACATATCCTTTCATTTAAGGAAGGTTTAAGAGACCCACTTGCCATGCTAGCAAGAGGCTAAGAGGCTATCAGCCAAAAAAGAGAAACTGTGACAAGACCTCAAAAGTTTTCATATGTAAATTCAGTTGAAAACTAATGTGTCAGTATAAATCGTATAATTTCAATATCAATCGAAACCTATGCTATTGGTGGGGGGAGGGAGGGACCTTTCACCTTTTTTAAATCTTATGCATGTGTCACGAGGTGCAGCTAGATTTTGAATTTCCTGCTGAATTATTACTCAACTTGGAGATAACAGTAGGATATGGAGAACTCAACTAAATCCTTTCATTTCAATATGCATTAAATGATCAATAGTTCTAACAACTTAAACTGTCACATTATAATAGTCTAAATTCTTCTTTAAACTAATTTCCATGTACATCTATAGTCTACCAATCACATCCTCGAAAAAAATTATACTTGTGCTAAAGAAAAATTCACATTGATTCAATCCATTCTTGTAAACCTCTCAAATTACTGTTTACGGTTTCTTAGGCAGTTGTAACTTGCTAGTGTGCCTAAAGGAATCATTTTTTTTTTTTCCGGAGATATTTCCTATGTGAAGGGCTAACCTTGATGCCATCTTCTTAATTAATACATCCTTTTCCTTCTTAAGAAACAGGAGCTTTGGGCATTGACAATACGCCAGTCACAAATACTTCTCTCATCAAATAGCATGAAGTTGTGACTAGTAAGTATTAAGTTCAGGAAGGAAGGTTTTGGGTGGCAAACATATGAAAAGAAGTAGCTTAAGGATGCATATTTTGGAGCTTTCAGTCAATCTGATAGAGATTTAAAAGTTATGCGTAGACTGGCAGTAAAAACTCCTCAATTTGACAGTGCTGAAACCAACATTACAGGCTTAGGGACTCCAAATTATTTTCTAAATAGTGGAATGGACACACCTCCTGCAGCTGCTGGAAATTTGTTCTTTTGAAAGTTCGGAGGACCGTATAGTTCGTAAAATAGATCATTCCGGTATTCTAACTTGCAAGTCTCTTCTTTGCAAGCTTACTGCAGATCATCCTGTTACCAAAGGGCATTATCCAAGGCTCTACTGAAAGATAAATACACTAAAAGGTTGAAAGTAATCATCTGGATTGTTCTTTTTGAAGAATGGAGTATAAATCACTGGTGACAAGCAAGAAACCTTCATAGTGCTCTCTAGCCGAACTGCTATATCTTCTGTAAAACAGATGGAAAATGGCAGCCATTTCATCCTTCCTTGACACACCTCGAGAAGCATATGGTGGAGGCATTTTAGCAAGTCAAGAACTAGCAGGACTATGGTTTCCAGTATAGAACAGCTTGAAGTTCTTCAATTTCACACCATAAAAGCAATTGAGGGAGGTTTGGCTAGGAAATATAGATTGGTCTTTCAAAATGAAAACAAGAAGCCCTCGACACATTCCTTTGCAACTTCTCCCAGCTATTTCCTCTCCTAAAAAAACTCTGGTTGGGGTGTCTTCTTTAAACTCCATAGGTTTTCATTCACTGCCATTTTTAAAATTTTATACAATGAAGCTTGCTTCTTAAAGGAATGTAGAACTTCAAAATTGACTTACTTATTGATGGAAACAAAATGTAGCAAAGGGGACTTGGGGATATACAGAGCAAACAATAAGTAAGAACTTCAAAACCAACCTTACAAACAGAAATCTAAATTATCAAATAAACTACAATCAAAATAGAACAGAGGAATATAACGGTAGAAAACAGCAAACAAAGTCCAAGTGAACGCACTGAATGCATAGCTCCACAATCTGCTCGAGCTCATATTATATGTTCAAAAGAATCTTCCTATTTCTGCAGTCGAGTACACCATAAAATAAACAATAGAAAAGAAAATTCTGTTTGCCAAAGAAAATTTCCTCTATCCTCCAATCGCCCACTAAAATCCAAATTAGGAGAGAGGTTGAACCTGAACATTTGCAAGGATCTACCCCATATTGTGCTGGAAAAAGAGTTGTGCCACAATATATAATTTTAGTCCTTTGTTCCTGCACAAGTGGTCCAGTGGGGAAACAAACAAAAGATAAACCTCGAAAGAGTGATCATAGTTTTAATTTCCTCCACAAGTCAAAAAGAACATCTTTTTGGGAACCTCCAATTTCTAAATCATCAAAATGAGATGAAAGCAATTAATCAAGGAAGAGAAAATTGAGGTAGAGAAAAAGAAGCTGCACATATAAACATCAAAAGAGTACAATACCTAAAGCCTCTTTTCCTCACTCCAATGACTTAGGATCACAGCATGAATGACTTATGAAAGAGACGCCAGGTCCCAACTCTCTCAATTATGGAAGTTTTCCGCAGAGAGAGAGAGAGACATTACAATTCTAATAGAAAATAATGTAACTAACAGAAAATGGCACCACCAAAAGGGATCAAGTTCAATAATTACACTAGCTGCATTCTAACGAGTCGTTATAGGAATATCCAAAAGAAAATAAAACATATTTCCAAAATTAGAATGGATAGGCTAATTTGAGCATAACTCTAGGCACCAATTATCATTGCAACAGTTGATGGATCATTCCCTCACCAGCCATTGTTGAACTACAAAAAAAATTAAAACGAAGAGCTAAAGATTCAAATAAGTAGGAGCATGCTTAAGTTTATAATCTTCAAATAACATTTTTTTTTTATAAAATATTGAATAATCCAGAAGAAAATTTTTAGATTTAGATGTCCTACATCAATGTTTGTTACGACTTACAAGATGTTACATCATTTCAACAATGTAATCAATTCCTTAAACTCAAAGACATAATTTATCTCTTTCATGTCGTATTTGAAATGCAAATATATGAAAGGTAAACAAATGAGCATGAAAACATTGAAATATGTAACTTATAAATGTGTTTCTAACATGTTTATGACCTACTAATACTTTCGAGAAAATAAAGCGCAATGCATCCATCCAATTTGTATTCATATCTTGTGTTTGTGTTTGAGAGCGCTTATTAGATTACAAGTGACCTACGACAAAAATAGTACCACTGAAAAAAGTTATAGAAGATCTGGATCCCCTGTAAGTTGGTTGATTCCCATTTGACGCAGAGACCTCACGCCGTGCCTTTCAGTAGCACGAATATGGGTCATTCTTTCCAGCAAATTCTGGAAAGCAGGATTGCTGATTGCTTCAGATACTCTATTGCAGTATAAGGCGTCTTCAGAAAAATTTATAAGGGCCTCAGCAGCATTATCCTTCACTTCATCTAACTCATCTTGCAATAGCTCTATTAATCCATGGATTGCCCCTGCATCAGCAAGCGCAATCCTATCTGCCTCACTATAACTTAATTGAGCTACAGCTCCAGAGACTTTTTCCCTCACTTCACCATTCCCATCGTGTAATAGATCCACCAAAACTGGAATAGCACCCGAACTTTGCACAATCGGTATGGAGTACTTATAGCTTGAAAGATCCCACAAGACGTCGGCAGCTGCAGCCTTTCCTTCATCATCACCTTCTTTAAGAATTCTCACTAGATGATCAAAAATTAGAACCGCATTCGCTTCGGCAACAGCTAAGAGACAGAAAACGTCTTCCGCAATCTCCTTAGCAATAGGGTCAGGCCACTGAAGAAGATCAGCAAATAAAGGGATAGCCCCAGCTTGTGCAACAGGCCTAATATAAGCTACGTGAGCTGAAACTATTCCAAGGGAATTCCCAGCTACTAGTTTTGTCACATAATCTCCTTCACAAAATAGTTCAATAAGTACTGGAATCACTCCCAACTCAACAAGCATATGTCTTCCACGCCTTGTAATTGCAATTAACCCAATTGCTTGACAAGCTCTTTCTCTAGAAGCCATGCAGCCATATCTAGCAGCTTGCACAAGAAAAGGGAGGCCTCTTAAGCTAATAAGGGCTTTTCTAACCTCTCTAACTAGGGCCAATGCACTCAAAATCTCCAGTAAATATCTCCTAGTGCCATCAACTACAGAATCAAACATACCAATAACTACTTCCAAACCCCCATTTCTTGCTACAATCACACGACTATGTTTATCACAAGTAACAATACTCCAAATACATTTAACTAGAATCTTACGAAAACCACCACTAGTGTCTGGCAATGATCTCAATATAGACTCTAAAGCGCCGGAATGAGCTATCGCCGTCGCTAACGTACCATCACCTTGACGAGATATACGTTTTAGACAATATGCAGCAGCTCCTCTCATAGACTGGCTTGAATTACTGATGGGGTTAACTTCAAGATGCTTCGCAATAATGGGTATGGTGCTGTTCAAAATATTATGCGGGGCATCATTGGAGAGACTAGCCAATTTGATTGTGGCTTTCACTTTAACAGCCTCGGATTCTGTAGCCATAACGTTTTCATACTGCTTCAGCGCTGCTTCCCAATCTAGATTCGGCTTTTCAGATGCTCTACGAATCTCTGAGTGGCTCATGTTAGATAATCAAACCGACGAAATTTAAGGCTCCAACTAGATTAACAAACGAGAATTCCGACTGAGCGGATTGAAAATCTTCGGAATCAATGAAATACTCCGGTAGAAATTGAAGAAAAAGCAGTCGGAAAGCATGGAGGCGAGAAGAAATTTTCCGGGACCGACTGATCGGTATTTTGCCGGAAAATGAGTGGGGATCGGGTCGTTGAAGCCCAATTTCGAGATTTTGATTCAAAATTCGTTAAAAAAAAAAAAAAAATAATAATAATAAAATAAAACCCTCTAAATTAGTTCAATTATAATTTAAAAAAGTTTTATTTTCAATTTTTTAAAAAAGAAATTTGTTATTAAATTCATAAACATAAATTTGATTCACTTTATTAGTTAACGGATCAACTCAAAAATAGGGTTATGATCCAATACAATCCAACATGATCATATCTTATTTTAAAAAAAATTAAGAATATTTAACGTTTGTAATTGATTTTTATGATGCATCGTGATTTATAAAAGTTTAATATTTGAACTTTATGAGATTTTAATTATTAATATAATATGTATGGTGGATAAATAAAAAAATTTAAATTATAAAAAAAACAATTTGACAACTCAACTCAACCTGAAAATAGAAGGTTGAGTTAAGTTGTAAACTCTATTCGGGTTGCTCGGGCCACCAACTCAATCAACTTGAAATTTTGAGTTGATCGAAAAGATTTTTTCAATTCAGTCCAACCTAACCCAACCCAACTTTTTATTCGATCATGAATTTAACCACTAGGGAATGATGTGAAAAAAAGATTCAAGCGTTAAAATAAAAAATTTCAAAGTTCAGCCTTGAAACCTTAAATAAGGGAAGACTTCGGTTTCAAATATTTCTCAAATCTCGATGATTGTGGGTCCTGAGAGGAGCTTTTAGATTCTTCATCATTCTCATTGGAATGAAGAGACATTGAGGACGTTTCTTAGAAGGAAAAAAACACGAACTTCTATCTCTATAACAATCATTAGATTTCGGGCATGATTCGTAGGGGTCTTTATTATCAACAAAATTTCTTCGAACTCTTTCCTTTTCCTGCTCTTCCCATGAGGCCAAGCTACCATTGATATCAGGGGTTGCTTTAACTAAAATCAATAAAATGGAAATGTCCAAGTCACAATTCAACAAAAATTTAAAAATTAATAAATAAATATTTTACCTTTTCCTAACTTGTTAGGATATTCTAACCTTGTATTGCTTATATTTTTTATTTTGCATAAATTTTTTTAACGACATAATAGAAATGTCGATATTGTACATGTTAGAAGTTTTAGGTCTCTGTCTTCTCAAATTCAGCCTAGCTCAATGCTACATGGCTCTTCCTCAACCAAAAAACTAAACTAATGAACATGAATCTCATCCCTGAAGTCAATCTAAGTGGCTCTTCCTCAACCAAAAAACTAAACTGATGAACATGAATCTCATCCCTGAAGTCAATCTAAGTGGTTCCCTCCCGTATGAAAAGTAGCATCTGCAGATGAAAGAGTAGATGAGCTCCCTTTTAATTACATCGTGTTGACTAGGAACTCTTAGGTATTCACTCATCGTTGGCAGTTGACTGATTGGAGTTTGTGGAACAATCCCATCCTTTCTAGTACTTGTGGAGAATCCACACTAGTAAGAAATAGCTTAACACATGGACATATCGATAAAATTATCGACGGAAATGTCAACACGCTCACAGAAACTTAATACCCCCATTAAGATATATAAAATCTCTCAAAATCCACAACAAAAAGACTAAAAGTCCTACAACTCTCAGGGCAATCAGAGACCAAATCCCCAGGAATTTTCAGGGCATTAAAGTTCATCATCACTGTTAAATTTCCAGATAATGGTCTTAGTAGGCATAACGAAAAGACAGAGAATGCTCATATGGAATAATGAGAAGTAATCAAACAAAGAGGACATACACATCAATTACTTATAGGCCAAAATTTGTGTCAATTACAATAACTTCAAGACCAAAATTTGTGTCGATCACAACTTTCAGGACATATAAAGACCAAAATCACATGGAATTTGTATACACATTGTAGAAAGCGCCTCTCCCCCCATCATTGAAAAGATTTACAAGGAATTTCTGTTATAAGTTTGGAAGAGAACTTACAGTGTTGTGTATGCGTGTGCCAAGCTCACCAGCCCCTTTTGAATGAGCTTAAGTGCAGTAGACATGGCAGGTAAAAACTCCACCTCTAATCTTACCAAAGAATTGCAGCCATTGGAGTAGTTCATAAGCTGATTACGGCAGCATGTACGATCATAAATGACACGCACCGCAACTGGAACATTCACGAAGTCAGCAACATGACCTGTTGAAAGGGAACTGCATAGATATAAAGGATTAGAGAACTTGTGTCATCCATTTCAGTACTGCCATTCCATGTCAGTTTAGATGGAAGAACTCCGAGGCGAAAATCAGACGTTTCACTTCAGGTTATCGTCTCCTTTCGTATTTCTGCGCAAATTCTTTCAATAGCAATCTCTTCCGAAATTCTAGATACTTATCTAGGCTGGTTTCGGCCCACTGCTGACAAAAACATTCATCAGTTGGAACGAAGGAACTTAAAGGGAATGGCCCTTTGGGTGCTTTCTTGAGAGAAACTAGGAACCGGTGTCGAGGTCGAATTCTCTGATCCAAGGATAAGCTTAGATACATGGGATATTTGGTCAATGATTTCACTTCGTTGCGGAGTTCATTGATCAGATACATGTATTTGGGCTTCAAATTATCCTCCAAAGATAGAGAAAAAACCTGCAGTATCAACAGATCCGGTTAAGGAACCTAAAACAAGATTTACGAAGAAACTACTAAAAAACCATTTGAATTAAGTTAGCAACCGAGATGAGGCAACAAAGAAATTTAAAGTATAATATACTTTTAATACCACTTCTAACAGCAAGAAAAAGAAAGAGTTGGGTATGGAAGGCTTTTGTGAGGATAGTTGGGAATGAGTCCCACATTGGCTAATTAAGAGAATGATCATAGGTTCATAAGTAAGGAATATATCTCCATTGGTATGAGACCGTTTGAGAAAACCAAAAGCAAAGTCATGAGAGCTTATACTCAAAGTGGACAATGTCATACCATTGTAGAGGGTTGTGGTTCTTAACATGGTATCAGAGTCATGCTCTTAACTTAATCATAATTTAATCACGTCATAGAATCCTCAAATGTCAAACAAAGAAGTTGTGAGTCTCGAAGGTGTAGTAAAAATGTGACTCAAGTGTCAAACAAAGGTTGTATTTTGTTCGAGGGCTCCAGAGAAAGGAGTCAAGCCTCAATTAAGGGGAGGTTGTTCGAAGGCTCTATAAGCCTCAGGGGAGGCTTTAAGATGTACTTTGTTCGAGGGAAGGAGTCAACATTGGCTAAGAGGATGATCATGAGTTCATAAGTAAGGAATACATCTCCATTGGTATGAGGCCTTTTAGGGAAATCAAAAGCAAAGCCATGAAAGCTTATGCTCAAAGTGGACAATTACATGGTGGAGAGTTGTGGTTCCTAACCGTCTTAACATCAAAAAGGGGTTTTTTTTTCCTTCTCAAACGATGTTCGACAACAATAGAATACAAATGGATAATACCTGTGTAAGGCTAGTTATGACTTTCAAGATCTCTGAATTTCGCATTCCAATACTTCTAAGGAAATTGATCCGGGGCAGCAATCCGTCATCGATGCTATAGTGGAGGAGTTGAGGATGTTTAGTTACCATCTTCACTACATTATCACGAGGGGCTCCAATTTCCTTTGAAAGAAACATATATCTGGTGTTCCATGATACATCAATCCGTTGAACCAGGATTTGAGGACTCAGTTGCACAACTTTACCCAAATCCTTTTCCTTAATGCCGACTTCCTCGACCAAGTATCGGACGGTGGGTTTCAACGAATTCTCAACACTATAAGAAAATAGAGATGGAGCAGCAGCAATGATCTGCCCCACTCTGGAATTTGGGATTCCCAAACTAAGTAAGAAAGCAACATGAGATTTCAAATTATTCTCTACTGTGTACTCCAGAATTTGGGGCTGCCTCATGAGTATTCTTCGAACATCCCTCTGTTTCACACCGACACTCAACAAGTATTCTAGTCTTTCTTGAGCAGAATTAACATTTATTTGAAGAGAAGGCATACGTCTCTCATACATTTGAAGAAAATGTGATTCTTTGAGCCCAAATGTTGTAAGATAATCAAGTAGAGGATACCATTTCTTGTCCAATTCTATTTCTTCTGCCAGACGAGGAAATCTATTTTCTATAGCTTTCTTGGTCATCAACTGAATCAATGGAAACAAACGCAAATTTAATATTTATTTTAGCAATCTAAAAAGTTTAATAAAGTTTCAAACTCCACCTTTCCTTGCTTGTCTACGTTGGTAGAACCAGCTTCCTCCTCAATAGTATCATCTTGGTTTTCAGTATCATTTGTGATATCTTGTAAATCAAAGCGGTTGGATGATCTAATACCCCTACTTTCTCTGGGATGTCTCAAGTTATCTGCACAAGAAGAGTATGCTGAGCAAATCGTGCGCGCCGCCTTACGAGAAGGAGAAAGTAAATAGCAAAAGATAACCTCTCTGTGAGTTGCTATTTCTGGTTCTGTTTTGCAACTTGGCTCTCTTTCTTTTAGTATCATATTCAACATCCGAGACATTACCCTAGAAAATGAAAATCTCAGTGGACAGATAGTAAATAGAGATTCTCAATGATCAACTGCACACAAGCAAAGAACTATGAACAAAAAAAGCCACCAAATCCACTTTAAAAGAGCGCAATTGTGACCACCCAAGTCCACCGCTAGTAGATATTGTCCTCTTTGGGCTTTTCCTTCAAGGTTTTAAAAAGCATCTGGAAGGGAACAGTTTGGGCTGTTACAAATAGTATTAGAGCCAGTCACCAGACAGTGAGACACTAGTCGTAGTAGGGCTAGACCCTCTCCATAGTACCTGCCTTTTAAAACCGTGAGGCTGACGACAATATGCAATAGGCCAAAGCGGACAATATCTACTAGGGGTGAGCTTATAACAGAAATGGAAACAATTATATGAAAAATAAAGCTACAATTTCCTCTACTTACCAAGAGCACTCTTTGCATTGCTCAATTAAAACCAGATATAAAACTTCATGAAGCTCATTTGGTTGTCCATGGCCAGAACTATGTAATTTCTACCCAGCATAAGCACAGTTTCAAATACTTC